CTCAAAGGGGTGGCGGGGTGGGGAATCCAACACCTAATTTCTTGCAGCCGTTTTTATTTTTTATTTTTTTTAAAAAAAAATTATACTAGCATTAAAATAAGCCAACTGAAAAATGGAAGTGATTTATTTCAGGTAAATGCCATGCAACACCTCTGCTACGATGTGTTTAACACCAGCAAGGCATTTAAGCTTGGGATCAATGCAAAAGCTGTTAAATAACTTCAATAAATAATAATAAAAAAGGCAGACGGAGTTGTATAAATTGCCCTTTTTCAGCCTAAAATGATTATCTTTCAACCGTGTTCACTTAATGGCTTAACCAGGTCAGATGAAGGCTTGATATTTTTTTTTTTCCCCTCCATACAAGCCTTGGTATGTATTAACCTTGATTAGGCTACATAGATGGTGGAGAGAAACAGACACATGCAAACGTACACGCACACAATATACGTGAGAGAAAGAGGCACAATATACCTGAGAGAAAGAGGCATAACCTGTGAATGAACCCCTTTTCATTTGGTGAAGTTAGGCTGTATTTTGCACATCTGCAGTGGCAACCCAGAAAAAGGATTAATTCAGTAATTCAGATAAAATAGGTTACGTGAACGACGCAGTCTTGCAACAGTTTTGGACACTGTGAGAATGTGAAACTTGTCATGGAAAGATGTCTGGCTGTTAGAGAGGCCAAGGAACTGTAGGATGGTTTCGATTAAGTTCTGCCTTGGTCTGCCCAACATCTGCTTCCCAACAAGGAACCCAACATCTGCTTCTGCAATAACAGAACAGAATAACAGAGTTGGGAGGGACCTGGGAGGTCTTCTAATCCAAACCACTGCAAACGGCATGAGATCCTACACTATTTTGGTCAATATCATCTTCTCAACACCTTGACCTGTGGACTCTTTAACTGGATAGCGTTGAGATGGAATGTGGGATATACACCAGTCTAGACTTGTTCACAACTCTGCCATTCAGGTTTGAAGAGATGCCCCCATTCACCAAATCCTTTTTGTATCCTTAGGGACGACTCCAGAAATCAGAAGTGAGACTGTCTCCATTACAAATGGCCGGTCACCTGGTAAAGAAGGAGTTTTAAGTTTTAAGGGTGGGTCAAAGGCCAGTCAAGATCTGCTGTCAGATCCCTGTCAACTTAGATCAGCAGGAATCTCGGATTCCAATAGAGAACAGCAAAATCCAACAGATCTCCTCTCTATTGCACACCTGAAGGAAGTGAGTATGGAAAATCCAGGAGAGATTGGGATATGAAAAAAAAAATTAGGGAGTAAAATACATTTCGGAGCATCTGAAGAAATTCCTGAGTTCCGTATAGTCTTAAAAGATATTCTGTTCAGAAGCAGTTCACTGTTGCTTATAAAAATCCTTCCATTCCCCACCATCCAGTCAGAGCTGAAGAAGCTTCTTGGATGAGAAGCAAAATGTCTTCAAAGAAAAAACAAGAAAGTCCAGTTGCCTCTTGAGACAAAAAAAAGCACCTTTGACCTAGATGACTGAGAATCTCTATTAGGTAAAGGTAAAGGTTCCCCTCGCACATGCGTGCTAGTCGTTCCTGACTCTAGGGGGCGGTGCTCATCTCTGTTTCAAAGCCAAAGAGCCACCGCTGTCCGAAGACATCTCCGTGGTCATGTGGCCAGCATGACTAAATGCCAAAGGTGCACGGAACATTGTTCCCTTCCCACCAAAGGTGGTCTCTATTTTTCTACTTGCATTTTTTTACCTGCTTTCGAACTGCTAGGTTGGCAGAAGCTGGGACAAGTAACGGGAGCTCACTCCATTACGCGGCACTAGGGATTCGAACCGCTCAACTGCCGACCTTTCGTTCGACAAGCTCAGTGTCTTAGCCACTGAGCCACCATGTCCCTTCTGAGACTCTCTACAGACGTTGCTTATAATGTACTGTACTTGACTGATCTCAGGACGGTAGTGTAGTAATCATAAAACAGACCCTACGAAAAGCTTTCCACTGCTTCTCTTCTGGTTTAAGGTTTCCTGTTTGGGCCACCGTAGCTTCCATTCATTTCTTTAGTCCTCAGTAAGGATTGTACGCAGAAGCACCCAAACCAAGTCCATTCGTCTCAAAGGAAATTATTTTCTAAAAGTTAAGCTTTTGGGAAACAACCAGCCGTGGATATAGGCAAAGCATGCCTTACGATGATGGAGAAAGAAAGAAAAAAATGGAAGAATGTTCCTTTTGCTGGATTTTTAGGAAAGGTTCAATTACCAAGACAGATTTTTATAAGCAACTGGTTCGGAACAGAATATCTTTAAGACTATACGGAAGTCAGGAATTTCTTCAGATGCTCCAAAATGTATTTTACTCCTTTTTTTCTTTTGTTTTTTGTATCCCAATCTCTCCTGCTTATTCCAAGCCCACTTCTTTCAGGCATGCATCGATTTGTTGGATTTTGCTGTTCTCTCTCGGAGATCCTTGCTGATCTAAGTTGCCAGAGATATCTGACAGCAGATCTTGACTGGTCTTTGACCCACCCTTAAAACTTAAAATTCCTTCTTACCTGGCTATTTGTAATGGATACAGTCTCGCCTCTGATTTCTGGAGTCGTTCCTAAGGGTACAAAAAGGATTTGGTGAATGGGGGGTCATCTCTGGAAGGGAGAAGTAAGCAGAAAGGATCCCAGAGGAGCAAACGGATCAAAATTGGAGCCTTGTTTAACCACCCAGAAACTCAGATTTACTGCCAGGCGTGTGTAAATGCATCAGTTCCAATTCTTTCTCCTTTCAGCAAATAACATGGTAAGGCGACCTGAATGCCATACATTATACCTTGTATTGATATAATATAGAGACTACGGGAACGCAGAGATTCAAAGAGGGGGAAGGAAGGATTTTTTCCAACCTTTTCAAAAAAAAAAAAAGCAGAAGACCGAAAAGGCATCCTTATAACTTTCTTGGCCTGGATTTAGCGGATTAGATTCCTCACCTTCAACAGGAGGGAGAGTCTCTCTCATTCTCTCTCCCCCTTCCCCCCCCTCCCCCAATTAGTGAACCTTGGAGAAGATCATAGGAGCTTTGGGGGTCCCTCGTGATGCCTGCGCTAGGCTTTCTCCTTGGTAGTAAAAAAAAAAAAAAAAGATGATCGCCCATCAGCCAGTTTATAAATAGCAAATAATTGCTAGTGAAAGGAATGGGTGATGCATTCCGAGAACTATTTTGGGTGCCTGAATGCAGGGGGAAGCTGTTAATCACAAAGCAAGCAGCAAGATCCTGGGCTGGAAAGGTGCGCCAGGTGTTTAGTCCATCTTGCATGTTGGGGGAATGGAGAAGAAGAAGAAGAAGAGAGAGAGAGAGAGAGAGACAGACAGACAGACAGACAATGGGAAGGGAGATTGACTGAAGATGAAGAACCTTGACCGGCCATCACTCATTTCAGCTGCGCCCATTAAAAAAAAAACATTTTCTGGTGATGCCATCGTCCCTCTTGAGAACTTCTTCCATAAGCTGATATCCATCTGATGGGAGCACGGAAAAGCCACCTGATTATGGGCTGCAGTTCTCAACCCCGTTACCCAACCCAATGGTCAATGGAGACATTCACCACCAAGCACCCAGGTTCTCGAGGCTTCTTATCCCTCCAACGAAGCGATTTGCTTTGCTTCTCTCTCTCCTCCTCCTCCTCCTCCTTCTCCTTTTTGCTTTTAATTGTTTTTATTTGATCTACAAAAATGTCTCTCCCCATCTGTTTTGCTTTCATGTGTTTGGGGATTAGCATAATGAATCAGACAGACCCCATCACTTGACAAATGAATTGCGACTTTGAGTCCCTCCTGTTGCCATCACGGCCTGGTGGGTAGCGGGGAAAATTTGGTGGGGAGGGAAAAATTCGGTTGGGAAGGCGATGGGTGGAATTTCAAGAAAGAGGCAGCAGGCCACAACAGCCCGGTCCTCGGCCTCTGAAGTGATTGGACTCACAAACAGCTCAACCCCAGCAGCATTGTTTGGCAATGGAGAAGGGAGGGTAGGTTCGAACTAAGCCAGCCATTGCTCAGTGGGTATAGCTCTGAAATAAATCCGTGCACCACAAACTCATCCACACGCTGCTTTTCACCCAGCGCCTGTTCTTATCAGACAGCAGAATGTGTGTGCATGTGTGATGTTATCATGCTATCAAGCATCACTATCTCTACCGTGGGGACTGACCAAGCTTGTACAAGTTGATACCTCCAGGGTGGGTTTTTGTGAGTTGTAATCGGACCGTCTGGAATGGCATGGTTAGTTGATCTGATGACTTCTATGTTAGGGTATATCTCTGCTTTTGCTGGGCTCTGGATTGGAAGGAGAAGTGGCTGGGAATGAAGAGGAAAGACACCCCTCCCCACTTTTCGGAGCCAAAGTAGCAAGATGATAAAGGGGGGTGTGTGTGTGAGTGTGTGTGTTTGCAGACAAGTGTGAGTATACCTGTGTGTTGGTGGATGGGCATACTGTTGATTTGTCCACCACCCCCCTCACACACAGAGCATTTGACCCTACAGAGTTCCAACAGATGCAATGGGGAAATTTTTTATCTGTGGTTCTGGTTACATTAACCCAACATCCTTAATGGTTTCCATTGTTGCTGCTTCTCCAACATTTGCCAGTGCACAGGTGTGCATGTGACTTCTTTCCTGCCCTCTTCACTCTTGAGGAGCTCTTGGGCCGCTATCGCACAAGGGGTGTGGATTGACTGCCCCCTGCAGAGCCCCCTCCCCCCTCTTTTCCAAGGCTCTATGGAAGCTTTCCAAAATTGAAGGAGGGGACATGCTTCTATTTTTCCTTTTTTCCCCCCCCACTCCAAAAAGAGAAGATGCTCACCCCATTGTGGCTGGGATTTCCCCCTCTCCCTCCTGCCGCCGCCCCCAAGGCAAAAACAGCAGAACAAGCCTGCGGCAGGTGGCATATGGCATCATATGGCATCGGGGTGGGAGGAGGTGGAGTGAATTGGGGAGGGGAAGGGAGGGGAGGATCCCAGAAAGGAAGGAGGAGGGAAATGGAGCTCAGCTTACCTGGACATGTGTTCCCGCTGGGGCCGGTGTGCTTTCTCCAGCCCGAGTTTGGTGAAGATGCCCACCAAAACCATGACAGCAACCACCCCACAGATGATGTAGACGATGAGGTTGGTCTTGTCGCGGGTGGGGTCATGGGATGAGTCCATGGGCCGGTTGGTCATCTTGCGCCCGTTAAGCCAGGGGGGCTTGATATAGTTGGTGCAGACCTCCTGGTCCAACCGTCTCTTTTGATCCTGGCAGCAGAAACGGAAGCCGCACGTGCCACAGCAAAACGGGTAGCCGCGGACGCTGCAGTTGAAAGCCTCGTCCCACTGGCCCATCACATCAAAGTAGCCCCGGCATGCCTCCGGGCTGGGGGGCGGCTCCGAGGCGTCGGCGGGTGGCGGCTCACCCGTTCGGCTGTGGTTCCCGCCGGAATCGAACAGCATCACGATGCTGCCCAGGTGTTGCCCGACTTTCTCCTGCGCCCGACACAGCAGAAGGGGGAGGAGGTCTGCTGCCAAGTAGCCCAAAACCAAACGGAGGAAGCCCTTCATCCTTCGCAGCAGCGCGCCACCAGGACACCTGAGGTTGCCTTCCCTGCCGCCGCTGCCGCCGCCGCCGCCGCCGCAATTCAAGGCTCCCGACGCTCCGGCGCTGCGCCAAGGATTGTACATAAAGGGGGTCTCTCTTGGGCAGGCCCCGTTGGTGCGCTCTTCCGCTCGGCTTTTCCCCCCCCCCTCAGTTTAGTAGCGAAGGTTGGGTTTCAGCACCGCGGACAGCTCCGGGGTTTCAGCACCGCGGACAGCTCCGGGGTTTCAGCACCGCGGACAGCTCCGCGCAAGCCTTCCAGGGCCGCCTCTGCCGAGCATGCGGGGTTGGGGGGCGGGGTACCCCCTCCTCCTCTTCCTCCTCCTCCCCCCCCTCCCGCCAGACCCCCCCTCCCTCCTCGCCTCTTCCCACCTTCTCACAGCTTCCAAAGCTGGGGAGGGGAAGTGTGAAGCGGCGGCACTTGTAGAGTGTGGAGAGGCACCCAGAGAGTGAATGAGTGGCCGAAAGAAGGAGGGGGGGAGGGGGAAGAGCAGGAGTGGCCAGAATAGGGGGGAGGGGGGACGAGGGGGCAACTGGGCTGAGGTGGGGGGAGGAAAGGTGGGGGGGATCAAAAGACCCCAACGCGAGACGGAGAGGGGAGGGGGAGAGAAGGGAAGGAGGTTGGAGATAGAAGGGAATGGGGAATGGGGGGGGGTTGTGTTTTTTTGCAGAGAAAGCGGATGGGGTGAGGGTCGAGGAAGGGGAAAAAAACAAGAGTCCGGTCCCTTCTCTCTTCCTTCTCCCTTTTGAGGGTCCCCGCTCCTCGTCCTCCTCCTCCTCCGGCTGCCGGCGCCACCTTCACCGCCCCACACCCCTCTCCGCCAGAGCGCTGGCCAAGTTCTCCAGCGAGGAAAACTCTCTTGCTAGGAGACGCGGCCCCCCCTCTCCCTCCCTCCCTCCCTGCAAAGAGGAGGGGCGGAGACTTGGGCTGCTGCAGCTTCCCTAAAAAGGACCCGCATGGGAGTCGGGAGCAGAGCGTGGGTCTCCTCTTCTGCTTCTCCCCCTCCAACTAAGGCGCACGCAGAGACACAAACACACACAAACACACGCGCACGTGCGCGCACATGTCCTGCTGATAGAGAAGGAAACCAGCAGAGAAGGGTGTAAGAGCCAGAGGCAATCTGATGGGGGAGGGGGGGAGAGGGAGAGGGAGAGGGGGGAGGGAGAGGGAGGAGAGGAGAGGAGAGGGAGGTGCCTCTAGTCTCTTTCCAAGTGACTTTTTTGGCACCTTTAAACCTTCCACCAAGGTCCTTTGGAAGGAGCAGCGGTGGCAATGGGGAGGGCTGGGGTGAGGTGAGGGATGGGGTGTTGGATCAAGGAGAAGCAGGAATGGGATAATGCGCCTTAGGACCAAAGAAGGAAAGGCTTTGGCCCATAAATTGACCCCAGACCAGTCAAAGCCAAGATTCAGACAACAAACTGGGTTTTAAAAAAAAATGCAAAGTTTGATCAGAGTTAACCTCCGTTTGGTTTTTCCTGGCCCGACATGCAAATAAATATTTCCTGTTTGCGTCATGTGTGGGTCAGTGTATTGTGCCCAACTAGAAATGGGTTTCTTCTGAATCCAGATTGAGCATGTCTAGGGTGAATATAGCATATCTGTCAATCAAATCTCAGAGTGTTGCTTGTGGCTAAAAGAGGCAGAGGGAAGAATACATCAAGGTTGCTTGTTGTTGTTAGTTGCGAAGTCGTGTCCGACCCATCGTGACCTCATGGACAACGTTCCTCCAGGCCTTCCTGTCTCTATCATCCCCCGGAGTCCATTTAAGCTCACGCCGACTGCTTCAGTGACTCCATCCAGCCACCTCGTTCTCTGCCGTCCCCTTCTTCTTTTGCCCTCAATCGTTCCCAGCATTAGGCTCTTCTCCAGGGAGTCCTTCCTTCTCATTAGGTGGCCAAAGTATTTGAGTTTCCTCTTCAGGATCTGGCCTCCTAAAGAGCAGTCAGGGTTAATCTCCTCTAGGACTGACCAGTTGGATCGCCTTGCAGTTCAAGGGACTCGCGGGAGTCTTCTCCAGCACCTTAGTTCAAAGGCCTCCATTCTTTGGCGATCAGCCTTCCTTATGGTCCAACTTTCACAGCCATCCATTGCAACTGGGATCAACATAGCCTTGACTATACGCACTTTTGTTGGCAGGGTGATGTCTCTGCTTTTTAGAATGCTGATATCAAGGTTCCTACATCACTTTAAAGCCAGGTTTTTAAAAAAAACACCTTTCTTGTTTTCCGGCAGATGTTTCATTACCAACCTAGGTAACATCATCATGTGAATTCACCCCTGAGCTGCAAATATTCTTCCTTGGGTTTACAATCACATGACTTCATGATTGGCCTGGTTCACACAACATGCTTGAGACAATGGTCAGGTTTCCAGTAGATGCAAGTCATAAGCTAACCAACCCATTTTAGCCTGATCTAGCCTGCTTCGCAACTCGGTTTGTATGTAGTCCTACATAGTAAAGGTAGAATGTACAGGTAGTGAGTGGGCGTTTATGCATGAATTTAAGATATCATTCCAACATGTCTTCCTCTACCTCAGTGTTTCTCAATTCTGGCAACTTTGAGATGTGTGGACTTCAACTCCCAGAATTCCTCAGCCAGCCATGCTTCCTACCATCGGTTGAAAGCACTTAGTTTTAGTGCTTGGTTTACTTTTCCAAACGGTGGACTTTCTAGTGTAAGGACTACAACACCCAAAATTTTGAGGGGGGATTGAAGTCTACCCTGGAGATTGTCTAAGCCAAGGTGATTCAGATAAGGAGCAACTGTATGTGAATCCAGGCATTGGGATTAGTTCTGAAAACCAGGATGGAACTTGCTAAGTTACCTTTAGGTTGCCATGCCAAACTAGCACAAGAAAAGAATTTTTAAAAAAAGGAGTTAGTATTTGATTGACAAACTGTGTAATTACCCAGAAAGCACTTCCTGGCAATAGTGACTATTAGTGAATTTTTTTTAGCATTCAAATCAAACCATTTGTAACAGCCAAACTCAACAGGTGTGGTTAGTACCTCCCTCCCTCCCCTTCCTTCCTTCCTTCCCTCCCTCTCTCCCTTCTTCCCTCTCCCTCCCTTCTTTCCTTCCTTCCTTCCTTCCTTCCCTCCCTCTCCTTCCTTCCTTCTTTCCTTCCTTCCCCTTCCTCCCTCTCCTTCCTTCTTTCCTTTCTTCCTTCCCTCCCTCCCTCCTTCCCTCTCCCTCCCTCCCTTCCTTTCTTCCCTCCCTCTCCTTCCTTCTTTCCTTCCTTCCTTCCTTCCTTCCTTCCCTCCCTCCCTTCTTCCCTCTCTCTCCTTCCTTCCTTCCCTCCCTCTCTCTCCTTCCTTTCTTCCTTCCTTGCTCCCTCCCTTCCTTCTTCTCTCTTAAATTTTAACCTTTTGGGTCAGCCTTTAGAACTTTCCTTTTGCAAAACGGTACTCCTTCTTCCCCCACCCCCACCCCCCACCCCACCCCCAAAATGCAAAAATTTGCAGGGCTGAGAATGAGTAGAAAAGGGTTTACACTTTCCCTGCTTGTGGTTTGGGGACTCTTCAGATCTGTCAAAATGGATCTGGAAAAGCTAAGCACAAAACGACTTCTTGTTGAGATTGTTGCAACAGACTGATAAAGATCCTTCTTATTGAGGTTGGCTTGGCAGTTCCATCCAGAAGGGAAGCAGAACCTCTACCAAGTCTCCGCAGAGAAAGATTTTACGAGGAAGATGGATCAAAGTAAAAGCATCCAGCCTGAACTCTTTGGTGTTATCCTGTTCTTACAACCAACTTAAAAGGTGCTGGGATAAATTACTTCTATATTTCAGCCCAGGCAGCAGAGTTCTGTTGTAGCAAGAAGAATGGAGCAATCAATTAAGGCACCATAATTATGAGCTGAACTGAAAGCTGAGTGAAGTGTAATGGGCTATAGATGGAATATTCGTTCTCCAGGGATGCTCCCCGTTCCAACGGCAATCACTATTCCAAAACATCTATATTTTAATATCAAGTTCATGTTCCAAGGTTTCCGAGCATTCCTGGGGAAACGAATGGCTGTTTCAGGATCAAATCCAGAAATAATCATTCCTCTACCTGGGCAATCGTTATAAAGAATGAAATCACCTCATTGTGATGAATTTATGTTTACCGACAAAGGGGGACTTAGTATAGATCTATTTCAAGCTATTTAGCTCTCATCAGCTAGCCAGACCCTTCTGGGATTCGAACTTGCTCACACATTAGGTAGATGTATTAACCTCTAAGCCAGGGGTCGGCAACCTTAAACACTCAAAGAGCCACAAAGGTCCTAACCGGAAGCCCCCCCCCTTCAATTCTGGAGCCAACTGGAAGTCCAGCTCCCCCAACATAGAGAGTCTTCCTAGCGTGGCATCCTTTCTCCTCTACCTGTCCTAACTGAAAGCCTTATCAATTGTGGAGCCGACCAGCGACAGGGAGCAGCAGCAGAGGGATGAAAGAGCCACATGCGGCTCCAGAGCTGCAGGTTGCTGACTCCTGCTCTAAACCATGGGCTTGGGTGAGATCTGTCTATCAGGCCAACCTGGTCTAGCCAATTATGGGGCGGAGCATACTGTTAGACCGGTCTCACCAGAAAAAAATACACCTCATTGTGATTTTCTTTCTTTCTTTCTTTCTTTCTTTCTTTCTTTCTTTCTTTCTTTCTTTCTTTCTTTCTTTTTCCTTTCTTCTTTCCTTCCTTCCTTCCTTCCTTCCTTCCTTCCTTCCTTCCTTCCTTCCTTCCTTTTTTTCTTTCTTTCTTTCTTTTTGAAGTGCTGTTTCTGCTGTAAAGGTAGCCCTGGACTTATGACCACTGTTGGAACCAGAATTTCCATGGCTAAGGAAGGCAGTTGTTAAGTGAGTAACATTACCTTTTGCGGGGGGGGGGGCACGGTTATTAAGCAAATCACAGCAGAACAGAATATCAAACTTTTTTTAAAAAATTTGATTTATATGCCGCCCTTCTCCGGAGACTCAGGGTGGCTTACAATGCGCTAAGCAATAGCCTTCATCCATTTGTATATTTATACAAAGTCAGCTTATTGCCCCCACAAACTGGGTCCTCATTTTACCTACCTTAGAAAGGATGGAAGGCTGAGTCAACCTTGAGCCTTGGAGAGATTCGAACCAGCAGTAAATTGCAGGCAGCTGGTATTAATCACAATGCTATCTGTCTGCTGAGCCACCAGGCCCCACCAGAACATGCTGACTCTGTAAACCAGCAGCTCCCCCCCCCCCCAATCTTTGGGGCGCCAGGGACCAGTTCTGTGGAGAGAAGTTTTTCTGTGGACCGGAGGGAGTGTGGTTTTGCGCATTGCCTACCTACATCCCACAAGTGCAGGGTTTCGCTCCTTTGTGCAGCCCAGTTTCTGGTGTGCTACGGACTGGTGCCAGTCTGGGGCCCAGAGGTTGGGGGACCCCTGCTATAAACCACTTAGAGAGGGCTGTAAAGCACTATGAAGTGGTATATAAGTCTACGTGCAGGGGTTGTATTCACTTATGTTCGCTCCCGGTTCGCAAATGTGAGTGTGTGCGCCTTCCGCGCATTCGCAGAGTGTCAAAAACGTGGATAAATGGGACGTGATTATGTCTGGACAGGTGGGCAGAGCCATTGGCAGCTGCCGCTACCGGTTCGTTCGAACTGGATACAACTAGCTAAATACCACCACTGTCTACGTGCTATTGCTACTTTAGTGCAGTTGCTTATCAACTTCAGCCACTTTCAGACCTATGGATTTCAACTCCCAGAATTCCCCAGCCAGCATGCGGACTGGGGCAATGGTGAAATCCAAATTTTTTTACTACCAGTTCTGTGGCGTGGCTTGGTGGGTGTGGCTTGGCGGGCGTGGCAGGGGAAGGATACTGCAAAATCTCCATTCCCTCCCCACTCCTGGGGGAAAGATATTGCAAAATCTCCATTCCCACCCCACTCCTGGGGGGAAGGATATTGCAAAATCTCCATTCCCTCCCAACTCCTGGGGGAAGGATATTGCAAAATTTCCATTCCCACCCCACTCTGGGGCCAGCCAGAGGTGATATTTGCCGGTTCTCCAAACTACTCAAAATTTCCGCTACCGGTTCTCCAGAACCTGTCAGAACCTGCTGGATTTCACCCCTGGACTGGGGGATTCTGGGAGTTGAAATCGACACGTCTTTTAAGTCACTAAGGTTGAAAAACACTGTTATAGAGATTCCCTCCCCGTCCGCCCCCCCAAAAAATTACAACTTAATAAAGGACTTCTGAGCTTTCTTGATTCTTTCAGGATATATGTTCTCTCCCGAACAAAGCACGGAAGAGGTCTCAGAGGCCTTTTGTTAATAAAATGAATTCTAATATGATTTTTTTTTAAAAAAAAGAAGAAGAAGAAGAATTCCCCACATTAAGCCGCCGGTGAGTACAATCTTGTAGGGTTCTTTTTTCTTTTTTCTTAGAGCCCTGCAAATAAATGGAAAAGCATGGGAAACCATGTAGAATTCAAACCTCACACACTCACACACACACACACACAAAACAGATTTTCTTCCCTTCCCCCCCTTCTTCCCTTGTTTAGCATCCAGTCAATCTGCAGAATATCAGTTGAATTAACTCTGAGAGATTTGTTTAGCTGGTCTCCAGGGTGATAACTGGAGTTGCAAACTGCGTTCTCGGAGGAAAGGCACAGGGGCCGAAATATTGAGGGGAGGGAGGAGAGAGAAAGGAAGCAGCTGAACAAAAGCAGGGAGATTTCATTTCATCTCTCTCTCTCTCTCTCTCTCTCTCTCTCTCTCTCTCTCTCTCTCTCATAAATAGGCCTGGTAGTTTGGATGCCAGCTAGGGGGTGACCCTCCCCAAAAGAGGCATGGGTGAGCTGCTGTGGGTTCGCGGGGGTTCGGGAGAACCTCTAGCTAAGATTCTGTGCAGTTCGAGAGAACCCCCAAATTCCATTCCTGGCTGGCCCCTTCCACCCCGCCCAGGAGTCCCCACGTGGCCCGTTTTGGATGCAGGTAAGTGCAGGGCACATGTAGAGGCTCAGGGAGGGTGAAAAACAAGCCTACTGGAAGTTTGGGAAGGCCAGAAACGGGCATGTTTCTGGCCTCTAAAGGGCCTCCGGAGCCTGGGGAGGCTGATTTTGCCCTCCTGGAGCCTCAAGGAAAGCCTCCGGAGCCCAGGGAGGGCAAAAATGCCCACCACCACCCCGCCATGGTGCAGGAGGCTGACTAGGCCACGCCCACCATGGCCACGCCCACCCAACAACCGGGCAAAGATCCCCTTGCTAAAATGTATAAAGCCCACCCCTGAAAAGAGGGGGGTGGGGGGATGAGCCCAAGCAAATGGTGACATTTGGCCTGATTTTGATTTTTTTTTTCCACTTGGTTTTTCAACGTCTGTACAGGTTGTTCTTGACTTACAAATCATTCGTTTAGCAGCCCTTCAAAGTTATAACGGCCCCGAGAAAAGAGATTGATGACCGGTCCTTCCTCTTACAGCCGTCTCTCAGCATCCCACGTGATCAAAATTTGGGTGCGTTAGCACCCAGCCTGTATTTATGACTGTTGCCGTGTCATGTGATCACCGATTGCCGGATCACATGATCGCCGCTGGTGACCTTCCCAGACGGAAAGCTTCCGACCAGCAAACTCAACAGAGGAAGCTGGATTCGCTTAAACCACCGCATGATATATTCTTAACGAGGGCAGCGATTTGCTTAACAACTGTGGCAAAAACGGTCGTAAAATGGGGCGCAACTCACTTAACGAGTCTCTTGCTTGGCAATGGAAATCCTGATCAGGTGATGAGCATGAGGATGCTGGCAGCAGTTGTAAGGGTGAAAAATGGCCCTTTTCTGTGATGTTGTAACTGTGAACGGTCCCTAAACGAACCGTCGTAAGTCAAGGATTCCCTGTAAATCTCTCTTTCTAGTGTTTTGACCTGCCAGCTGACCTTCTCAGTAAAATCTGGGCTGCCCTTCAATTCGACTTTCTGAAACTCAATTCTTCCCTCCCGCACCCCGCGTAATCCAGAATCATCTTCCACCCGGGAGGAGATATCCATCATTGCTTTGGTATCTCTTACATGAATTGTGTCAGCCGGCTGAAAACAATGGCAGCACTGGGGAAATCATGCATGTTCTAGTATTTCAACTCAGGACATAAATTAGTTTTTGCTGTTTTTGTCCTCCGGATGGAGCTGCTCGAAGGAAAGCAGTCTCTGGACTCCAGAACAAAAGGGCCAGGAGAAAAGGTTCTGTCACCTGAAACTAAACTAAATTGGATTAAAATACCTACCCAGTTTAAGAGAGAGGAATCATCCAAACTACTTTCTTTTTTTTCTTTTTTTAAAATAATATTTATATTATTTGGAATATAAATTTCCAAAGATTAAAATACACAGTACAAAAAGAAACATAATACACAGAAAAAAAGCAAGAAAACACACACACACAAAAACACCAAAAAATATAAGCAACCAAAAACAAACAATTTTCAATACTAATAACAACTTTTCTGCATTGGTATCTCTAGCCTATTTAACGTCTTTACATAAATTCTACTTCTAAATACCTCTATCTTAAACTTACATCTTTATCTAAATTATCTTGACTTCTATTTACAATTCGATCTCGTAACAAAAAACATCCCTTAAAATTTTATGTTTACTCTCCAACCAGAAATACCATGTATTCCATATTAAATAGTACTCGATGTCCTCCCTCTCCTTCATTACCATAGATAATCTGTCCATCTCTGCACATTCGTATATTTTTTTAAATTATGATTTGATCTGGAGGGCTGTCTGATTGTTTCCAATTTTGTGCTATCACAATTCTACTTGCCGTTAGTATATGTAATATGATATATTGTATACTTTTCTGCATTTTCCCTTCCAGAATACCCAGGAGAAACAATGCCGGCTTTCTTAATATCTTCTGCCCTGTTATTTCATCCAGCCGTTTTTTAATCTTGCCCCAAAATTTCCTAATTTTAGGACAAGTTCACCACATGTGGTAGAATGTCCCTTGTTTGTGTCCACACCTCCAACAATTTGGAGACCTATTCAAGAACATCCTGGCCAATCTCGCTGGTGGCAAATGCCAATGGTAGAACATTTTGTAAAGATTTTTCTTTATAAGCAGCTGACATCGTTAGTTTGTAATTTCTCTCCCATAATCTATCCCATTGATCCAAATGAATATTATGTCCAAATTTTTTTGCCCAACTAATCATTGTTTCTTTCACGGTTTCCTCTTCCATTTTAAATTTAAGAACCTTGGTAGTACAGTGGTTTAAAGCACCCTGTTATTAAGACCAGCTGCCTGCAATTACTGCAGGTTCGAATCTCGCCAGGCTCAAGGTTGACCCAGCCTTCCATCCTTTCTAAGGTATGTAAATTGAGGACCCAGTTGTGGGGGCAATAAGCTTACTTATTGTATAAATATACAAAAAGATGAAGGCTATTGCTTAGCACATTGTAAGCCACCCTGAGTCTCCGGAGAAGAGCGGCATATAAATCAAATTTAAAAAAAAATTTTTTTCAACAAAAAATTATACATTTTTGTGGTCATTTTTCTCCCCCGGATCCTAATAATATCTTATCAAGTTCCAATTGCTCACTACTTTCTTGTGGTCTGACCATTATTGATCCCTCTACCAAGCCACCTGGTTTTAACCTGCCTTGCTCTGCTGGTCAAAACTGAACAGAATGACGTATGATACCAAAAGGCCATCTGTGTCAACCATCCGACTAGTGAACCCAAAATAAGGAAACATTCTCGGAAGTTTTGAAATCCCAAAAGAAAAGCTTTATTGGGTACACCGTTTTGATACTGAAGAAACAAAACCAGCTCTGGTTTTGTTTCTTTTTGCGCTTTTTGCGCTTTAACTAGGCAAGCGCAAAAGGCTTGCCTAGTTAAGCAATGGCTTCCCCTCCTCCCCACCCCTGGGTGATCACATTGTCCAATGATAAAACATCCTTTTGTTATGGGAACAGTCCATTTCTTTCTCTAGCACCTGCAGTGGTGACCTTGATGGTTTCCAGGCTCTCATGATCTCCTCATACGTTCTCAGCATTCCATCTTCCCCTTCCCTACCCTCTACCCCCAGTTCATTGGCAAGTTGGAAAGCATTAAGGTTTGAAAGAAGCGAAGCGGTTCCGTCTTGACCCTCTGCCCTAGAGCGGTGGGGATGGAAAGATTCCCCTTGTAGCGATTGTGGTGCTGATGTGCAAACTATTAAACATATTGTGCAAGATGGGCATTCTCTGGTTCCCTAGATCTGCACGAAGCAACCCCAGAGACGATCGTCTGGCTAGCTGAATGGGACATCGGGTTATGAGGCCACCCAGTGGTGGAATTCAAATATTTTTATTACCGGTTCTTTGGGTGTGGCTTGGTGGGCGTGGCTTGGTTAGGTGGGTGTGGCTTGGTGGGCATGGCAGGGGAAAGGATACTGCAAAATCTCCATTCCCACTCCACTCCTGGGGGAAGGATACTGCAAAATCCCCTTTCCCATCCTGCTCCTGGGGGAAGGATAATGCAAAATCTCCATTCTCTCCCCACTCCTGGGGGAAGGATATTGCAAAATCTCCATTCCCACCCCACTCCTGGGGGAAGGATATTGCAAAATTTCCATTCCCACCCCACTCTGGGGCCAGCCAGAGGTGGTATTTGCCGGTTCTCCGAACTACTCAAAATTTCCGCTACCGGTTCTCCAGAACCTGTCAGAAACTGCTGAATAGTACCCGATGTTCTGTCCCCGTCTCACACACTCACACAAACAGACAGTCGGGGGTTAAATAAACTGGCAGACAACAATTCTTCTGATAAGAGGATTGGCAGCAACCCAGTAGCTGCTTGCCAAGAACTTTACTCATAAACAAGATACACACAGTTCAAGAATTGTCCAGTCTGTAATTAAATCCAAGGCAGATAATGTTCTTTCCAAAGATGCAATGTGACTCGATAGTAGTTAGTTTTGTCCGTTACAGAGTCTGAATGGCCACCTCACCCCCTTTTATACCCTGTGGGGTGTGGTCCAGTGACTCAGCTTAATCTCTGGCATGCCTCTTCTTCTGTTGTGCGCGCTTATCTCTGCGACGCTGCCAAGGATCCAGCCAAGACTCATTTCCCTCACCGCTGTCCACCTGTGGCTGCGTGGACGTGCTTGGCTCTGGCCCTATCTCTTGCCCTTCGGCGGACACCAAAGGCATTGCCAGAGAGGAGGGCCCTGGAGAGGGAGGCCTTGCCAACTCCTCTCCTTCACTCTCGGAGTCCTCTCCTGCCGATGACACAGGCTCAGGTAACGGAGCCACAACACCTCTACTCTATTCTATTCTATCCTTATTTCTATTCTATTCTATCCTTAATTCTATATTCCAGTGACCATATCTAGCACCCCTAGTCTTAGACTTAAATTTAGATTTAGAAGTAGACTTAGATTTTTAGATTTTTGGTTTCGATTTAGAGAAAAAAATATAATTTTCTGAGCTCATCGATCAGTTTTCTTCTTTTTTAAAAAAGATATGCATTTCCAGCAGGTTTTTTAAAAAAAATCTACATTCATATAGTGCTTCTCATGAAATATCTCTTTTATCGCCATTGTTTGATGTCAAGAACAAAGGATATATTGTTTAAACTCAGTTGTTGTGGCTTGGAAATGGCAGTTTATGTTGTGCCAGTCGACTGAGTGTCCAGCAGCTCAAGTGTTCGTGCATGTCCTGAATTTTACTCAATTATGAGATTATTCTGTGGTTCAGCCCTGTATTTAAAAATGAAGGTATTCATTGCAGGAGGAAAGTTAAATATTCTGATGCTGTAATTTGCTGAAGGTGGAGAAAGGGGTAGCAGAAAGAAATATTATCCAAGGACAAATAAAATGGATGTGTGGCAAGGAACATTTTTCTCTCTCCAAGTGCTGAAAATTATGTTCCTAATTCCCCTATTTTGTTACACAGTGAGGGTTGAGTATGAATAATGAAACCGCAGCTCACCGTCAAAAGTATGGAGGGAATATTTTAAATGTTTAATTATTCAAATGAAGGAATTAACGTGCCATCCTCCCTTTTACAGCTCTGCTAGTGATCTCCGGCTCCATGGAAAAGCTCGTGAGGGACATGGGAGGGGGGAGATAATAAAGATGTAAGCGATGAGAAATGTTGGAGCAAGAGGGGGAAAAAAATAAAATAAGAAAAACCTAATGACTTCCAAGTAAAGATATTTGGACTTCTGGAGCATCCATCTTTCTTCCTTAGAGATCCCAAAGGTAGCATGAGCAGATAGAAAGACCGGCTGATGAGATTCAATGCTTGGTTCGGAAGGAGATCCATCTTCTAAAGAGAAAACAAGAATTGGAGATGGTCAGGAGCAACCTAGAGTGCTATCAACCATGGCAGCAAATATAGAATACCACAGTCGGAAGGGACCTTGGAGGTCTTCTACTCCAGGGGTCACCAACCTTTCGGATCTCGGGGACCACTCAATTCATCATTCTAAATTCCACGGACCACTAATATGATCTGCCTAATGACCGGCTGGGTGGGCATGGCTGTTCTGTCCCCGTACCACGCGCACATCCCCACAGACGGCCCGGAGTTAATAAGCCACACGACAAAACTCTTTGATGATAAAGCTGGCAGCAACCCAGTGGCTAGCTGCCAATTCAGACTTTACTCACACAAAACAAAGATTAGACTGCAAGCATTCCGATAAAATAGGCAGAGTTTCAACAATACAAGGATTAATCCAAATGCAGTCCGATAAAGCAGGCAAAGTCCAGTAACGCAGAGATCATGGATTATTTCCAGTTTTTGCTCGTCACAAACTGAACCGGCCACCACACCCACATTTATACCCTGTGGGGTGTGGTCCAGTGACTCAGCTAATCTCTGGCACACCTTCCCCTCTGCTGTGCACGCTTCTCCCTGCGCCTCTGTCGAGGGTCCAGCCAGCACTTATCTTCCTGTCTACCTGTGGCTGCGGGGACGTGCTTGGCTCTGTGCCTATCGTTTGGCCTTCGGTGTCCTCCGGAGGCATTGCCAGAGAGGAGGGTCCTGGAGAGGGAGGCCTTGCCGACTCCTCCCCCTGACTCTCAGAGTCTGCATCTGTCGATAGCCCAGGCTCAGGCAACGGAGCCACAACAATGGTTAGGTGGTCATGTGACTGTGTGGGCATGGCCAACTCGATGTCACTCACATCGAGGGGTACCTCGCTGGCCTCTACTTGCCCCTCCCCTCCCAGCCACTCCTCGCTTCCTCTACCCGGGCTCCTTAGGGCCCCAAAAGGAAGCAGTTGCTGGAGCTAAGCAGCCACCATGAGAAAGAGTTGGCAAAACAGCTCAGTTCAAATCGGATCTGACCGGAAAGGAGGCTCAGCAGAAGCACCTCACTGAGGAATAGGAGCATAGGCTTTCCAAGCAGAGGGAAGACTTGCGGGAGTACAAGGTCAGGTACCGGCGCCTGGAGGCTCAGCGGGTTGAGATGGTCAGCTAGTTCCAGGCCATGATGCAGTCCCACTGGAACAAAGTCCTCCGGCTCTTCGCCACCAGCGGCACTTCCCTCCAGCCTTCGCCCAAAGCCCCACACCAGGAGGCTGAAGCAGACCCCAAGTTGGAATTTCTGCCCCCCTCTGACCCACAGAAAAAGACCCAGGACAGTGCATGCCAGTTTCCGAGAGCCTGAATTTCGATCACATGCAGGGGTGGGCTGCTGGAGGTTCGCAGGGATTCAAGAGAACCTCTAGCTAAGATTCTGTGCAGTTCAGAGAACCCCCAAATCCCACTCCTGGCTGGCCCTGCCCACCCCACTGCGCTCCTCCCAGGAGACCCCCTGCGGCCCATTTTGGATGCAGGTAAGTGCAGGGAACGTGTGGAGGCTCAGGGAGGGAGAAAAACAGGCCTACCGTAAGTTCAGGAAGGCCAGAAACGTGCCTGTTTCTGGCCTCCAGAGGCCCTCCAGATGCTGGGGAGGCCATTTTTGCCCTCCCGAAGACTCGAGGAAAGCCTCCGGAGCCCGGGGAGGGCAAAAACGCTGCCCCCCCCCGCCGTGGTGCAGAAGGCTGACATGGCCACGCCCAACATGGCCACACCCACCCAGCAACCGGACAGAGAATCCCTTGCTAAAATTTTTGAAGCCAATCCCTGATCACATGACTCTGTGGATGCTTCAATATGTGAAAAAAACGATCCTAAATCACTTATTTTCCAGCGCCGTTGTAACCTTGAACAATCGCGAAATGCACCGGAGCTCTTTTGCAGGGACCCAACCTACAATTCCAAATGAAAGTTACGACTTTCGTCTTTTCTCCTCTTCGATCTTGACGCGGCAGTGATGTTCCGTGACCAGAAACGGCCAGGGAGAGCTCCCAACGGTTCACTGATCTAGAACAAAATGGACAGGAAGCCGAGATTCCGGTCTTCTCCTTGTTGCCTCGGGGAGATCCAGTGGGTCACCCTGAGTGACTTCTAAGGTGAGCCTCTCCTGACGTCGGTCTGCCAGAGAACTCGGCCACGAGCCCGGGTGTTTCAAAGACCATAGAATCAAAAAAAAAAATCAAATGTTTGCCTCACCGGAGGGAAATCCAATTAAACTGAAAATTGGATTGGAAGTGCTTGTTTAATTTAGAAATGCATTTTTGAGATGAAATATTGGCAGAGGAAGAAGCCAGCAAATTGCCCAGCGGGATAAATTACGCCAGGTGGGAATAGGGACAGTTTGAAATGGCTTTCATGGGGAGGGGATTTCCGTCTTTCGAGAAGAGGGAAAGGTTTTGCCAGTGTTGTGCAAGAACCTGGTTGAAATATACAAAAGGATGAAGGCTATTGCTGAGCACATTGTAAGCCGCCCTGAGTCTTCGGAGAAGGGCGGCATATAAATCAAATTAAAAAAAAAATTAAAAAAAAATAATCCTATGGGAAAAGGCAGGGGTGGGCCTCAAAAATTTTAGCAAGGGGTTCTTTGCCCGGTTTCTGGGTGGGCGTGGGCATGGTGGGCATGGCCTAGTCAGCCTCCTGCACCATGGTGGGGGGCGTTTGTTTTTTTTTAAATTTGATTTATATGCCGCCCTTCTCCGGAGACTCAGGGCGGCTTACAATGCGTTAAGCAATAGCCTTCATACTTTTGTGTATTTATACAAAGTCAGTTTATTGCCCCCACAAACTGGGTCCTCAATTTACCTACCTTAGAAAGGATGGAAGGCTGAGTCAACCTTGAGCCTGGCGAGATTCGAACCTGCAGTAATTGCAGGCATGTGGTCTTAATAACAGGGTGCCTTAGATCACTGTACTACCAAGGCTCTCTTTTTTTTTTTTTTGCCCTCCTCGGGCTCCAGAGGCGTTTGTCAAGCCTCCGGGAGGGTGAAAACGGCCTCCCCAGGCTCCGGAGGCCCTCTGGAGGCCTGAAACAGGCCCGTTTCTGGCCTTCCTGAACTTCTAGTAGGCCCGTTTTTCGCCGTCCCCGAGCCTCCGCGCATGCCCTGCACTTACCTGCATCCAAAACAGGCCATGTGAGGACTCCTGGGAGGGGTGGGCGAGGCCAGCCAGGAGTGGGATTTGGGCACGAAGTTTGGACAGGTAGAATAAAAACTCATTGAAATCCTCTAAATCAACGCCGAAGCACAATCTACGTAAAGAGAGAGGTTGGCTTCGTTGACAGTGCGGTGCGCGACTCAGCCAGGGAGATACTCCTACGCACAATCGCTGCCGCACATCAATGCAAAGAAACCCTCGCGCCTAACGCAGTTTAGAATGTGAAAGATAATAACCCACCGAACGTAATGAGGGAAAGCCTGTTGAATGCAATCCCATGGAATGATAAACACGCCTGTCAGGTTTCCAAGTAACCCCACCCCCAACGAAAGAAAACTCCGAGGCTTGAAGTTCCCTCAAAGTTCTATTTTATTCATTTAAGTTTATTTATTTGTCAAGCACATATAAGATTACAGGTAAAAAGTATAAACATAATTTGAATACATGAAAAGAGTAAGTAAAAAGGAATATTAGGACAGGGACGGAAGGCACGCTGGTGCGCTTATGCACACCCCTTACAGACCTCTTAGGAATGGGGTGAGGTCCACAGTAGACAGTTTAAGGTTAAAGTTTTTGGGGTTTGGAGAAGAAACTACAGAGTCAGGTAGTGCATTCCAGGCATTGACCACTCTGTTACTGAAGTCATATTTTCTGCAATCGAGTTTGGAACGGTTTACCGTGAGTTCTATTATCTATTATTTGCTCATGTATTGTTGTCATATTGTCATATTGGCACATCTGGGAAAACCCGAATCTGAAAGCTTCCAGGTTTTCCCCACCCGAAGGAAAGTCGAAGTCCTTTCCCCTGCACCCACATGTCCATCACATGGTCCAATCAAAGCACCGTCCCAACTGGAGATGCCTCCCAATTCCAGGTGCAGGGCATGATGTCCTTGACTCTCTGAGAAAGGAATGTTATTATGACTACATATCACCCCTGCTCCATACAATCCTCCCTCCCAGTTTCCCACAGTAGTAAATGTGGCAGGCCTGAAGGCCAAGCGAAAAAGAAGGCTTCCATGCCTGACAACGGCGCATATTATCCGAGGTCTTGTCCAACAGCAAGGAGACTCAACTCTAATAAACTAACAAAATAATTCTCAAAATGTCAGGACTCCTAACACACGGTGCGCTCCTCAAATTTATGACTGCAAACCCCAGAGCCTTTTTTTTACAAAAATCCCTACTCACTAGCCTTGGTACGGTTGACTGTCCAAAGATGGTTATTACAAGACGCATTTTACCAGGTAGTCCTCCACTTACAACAGTTCGCTTAGTGACCATTTAAAGTTTCAACGGCCCTGGGAAATGTGACTTACGAGCGTTTTTCATAGTTATGAGGACTTTTGCAGCATCCCCATGAATGATCATGTGATCAGAATTCAGACGCTTGGCAACTGGCTCACATTTATGACAGTTGCAGTGTCCCGGGGTCACGTGATCCCTTTTGCAACCTTTTGACAAAGCCAAAGTCAACAGGGGGAAGCCAGATTCACTTAACAACCGGGTTACTAACTTATCAACTTCAGTGATTCACTTAATACCGGTGGCAAGAAAAGTCGTAGGATGGGGCAAATCTCACTTAACAAATCTCACTTAACAACAGAAATTTGGGGGCTCAATTGTGGTCGTACGTTAAGGACTACCTGTATTTATTTGAGTGTGTTTATAGTCCATCTTTATTATTTTATAAGTAAGTTAAGGTGGCAAACATACATAACAATTCTTCCTTCTCCTCTTTTTCTTCACAACCATCACTCTGGGAGGTGGGTTGAGCTGAGAGAATCTAGAGGTTCTCCTGAACCCCTGCGAACCCCAAGCAGCCCACCTCTGATTTTAGCCCAGATTGTTCCTTCTTCTTTCCTCTTTTTAAGGGCAAACCACACACAACTTTGCAGGGGATTGATGGATTGGTTGGTTGGTTGGTTGGCTGACTGATTGATGGTCAAACACAGCATCGCTCGTGCCCTTGCGCGTCGGCTCAAAGGTTGCCAAGAGGATGCCAAGCAGACACTATGCACTACAGAGACGGCACAGGGACTGTCGTTCCGTTTCAGAATCTGGCAGCAGAACCCAGACAAGACAAAGACACAGTTGGAGTTGTGAGATAGTACACAAGATACTCAGAGGCAAACAGGAGAAAATCAGCTCCTCTCTCTCTCTCTATCTCTCTCTCTCTCCCTCTCCCTCTCCCTCTCTCTCTGTCTCTCTCTCTCTATCTATCTCTCTGTCTCTCCCTCTTTCTCTCTCTGTCTTTCTCTCTCTGTCTCTGTCTTTCCCTCCCTCTCTCTGTCTGTCTCTGTCTCTCTCTCTCTGCCTCTCCTTTTCTGTCTCTCTGTCTCTCTCTGTCTCTCTGTCTCTCCCTCTCTCTCTGTCTCTGTCTCTCTCTGTCTCTGTCTCTGTCTCTGTCTCTCTCTCTCTCTCTCTCTCTCCCTGCTTTCAGCTGAACAGATCATGCCGCTTCTGTCTGCAGGCTGTTAACGTCCATATGCCTGCTAGAATTCGACAACAATGAAAATATCCCCTGAATGCTATAAACCCATCTGGAGAAGTGGGACTCGGTTAATTTGTTAGTTTTGATTGCCTTGCAGTGACAATTAAGTTTCTCTTTCTCTCTCTCTCTCTTTTTTTTTCTTTCCTAAAAAGGTCCTGCCCCTTGAATCAAAGTGAGCAGAGAATATTTCCCAGGAGGAAAGCCTGTCTTGTGTTCTCAGCATCAAATAAATAAATAAATAAATAAAAATGGAAAGAAATCCAATTCGGAAGGGTCCTTGCTGCTCTTTGAGCTCGGCTGTTTCCATGCAGACATTCCGTTATCCGAGTAGGTAACATCATCAGCACTAGAAAGGAGCTGGGCAATGGTGGGTTTCCCCCCCCACCCGGTTCGGACCAGTTCTATAGAACTGGTAGTAAAACTGGTGGGAGGCTCCGCCCACCAACCCTGACATCATCGGGAAGCTTCCGCGCATGTCCCCGTTGAGAACCAGTAGTAAAGGTAAGTAGAACCCACCCCTGGAGCCGGATTTGCAGAGAGGGAGGAGAAGAAGTGTGACACCCCCCTCAATGCTCCCCCTGCTTTTGGCACGCAATGGCATGGTGGGCCCGTTTTTCACCCTCCCCAGGCTCCAGAGACTTTCTAGGAGCCTGGGGAGGGCAAAAACAGCCTTCCCCAACCCCCTGGAGGCCCTCCAGAGGCTGGAAACAGCCCGTTTCCTGACTTTCCTGACTTCCGGAAGGCCCAAAAATCAACTAGCCGGCGCATGCGCGCTGAAGCTCAGCTAGGGCAACGCTCGCGTGCCCGCAATGCTCCATGTGCCACCTGTGGTACGCATGCCATAGGTTCTCCATCACGGCCCTAAACCTTTGTTATCCATTCCTGGTTTAAACCGTTCCCCAAAAGAAAATAATCAGATTTGGATAGTGATCTAACAGGGAGAAATACCCCTGAAAGTAGGGGGGGGGTTCTCTTCCTGATAAGCCAAGCTACCCAAAATTTAGGATTTGAGGCTCTCTCTATACAAACTGGTGAAAAATATAATAATGGATTGGTTTGGTTACATCATCGCTTTCTTCTGCTCATGATTACAGTGTGGCAAAGGGTGCATTGAGGTTTCTTGAGCAAACGGAGGCTGCCCACGCTCTGTGATTCAGATCAAAATCAATTAGCGTGGATTAGCTGTGGAAACAATCAATGCCGGCCTAACGTTACACTCTAGCAACCACCACAACAAAAGAGAGGAGGTCTGGCAAACCAAAAGCAATCCAAGTCTTCGGGACACAAAAAGCCCATTGACTGCGCCTTGAAATTACCCCGAACGATTCTACCGCATTTCAGGTGTGCGTTCGTATGTGATGTGTTTGTAGACACTGCAAAAGAAGGAGCAAACTGGATCCCTAATCCATCTCATTATGGTGACTCATTCACACTTATATCATCGTACGGCACTAGGGTGTCCCATTATCTGAAGAAAGTTTTGTCTCTGCTAACGCTGCGGAAGGCGATTGAACGGGTGCCAGCGTGCTGTCACAGATGCCAGCTTCAAGTAAGGATAAGGAGGGTTGGCTTTAATCACTTCACCGAAAGCACCAGATGGCTGTCATTTTTGCAAGGCGATGGAATCGGCTGGACAGAGATTAGGTGCGGGGAGTAAGTCCTCAACTTACAACCGCAATTGGGATCAGCATTGCCACTGTTGTTAAGCACGGCGGTCGTTAAGTGAGCCAGACTTGATTTTATGACCTTTTTTTTTTTGGCCAAGGTTGTTAAAAGGAAATTACTACAATTGTGAAGTGAAGCATGCGATCATTAAGCCAAATCTGGCCGAAGCTGGTTGGGAAGTTTGCAAAGAGTGATCACATGAACAAAACTCCGCATTGGTGACAGGAAGAGCATCCGGCCACTAAAACACTTTGCTTCATTCAGTTGGCCAGACTCACCCCGCAAGGGATCTTGAGGTCATTAAAAGACAACGATGACGACGACGACGACGATGATGATGATGATCACATGATTCCAGAAATGCTGCAACTGTCACATATACATGCCAGTTTCCAAATGTTTGAATTCTGATCATGTAGGACCGTGAGAATGCCGTGAGGCTCAAAAGTGCAAGAACTGGTCGTTAAGTCATTGTCTCTAGTGTCATTGTAACTTCAAACAGTTGCTAAACTAATCGTTATAAGCCAAGGACTCTCTATAAAAATGACTGTAGATGAACTTCTTTATTTCAAATGGCCCCAATTCTAGTTTTGTATAAAACCTTGTGTCAGACTTCGATACTATCTCAAAATAAATGAATTTCCAAACTGCCAATCTTTAAGGAAATCTTTTCTTTAATTGGGCACAGCCACCGGATCATGACTTGATGCGGACAACACTGACCTTTTGCCCCCCAATCCCTCCCTTTCCGATCCCCAAATCTCTGCTTCTCATTGGCTATCTTCCAAGTCATTCTTCAGACTTCTTGCCTCGTCATTTCCCAGGAATGTCTCCCCCCCCTCATTTCCACGACAACCCGACTTCAAAGGGATTTAGCAGGCAAAAGTTCAGAGCTTATCTCTCTCTCTCTCCTCTGCTCTCTATGCCAGCGTTGAAGCGCTGACACCTTGCAGGTTTTTTGCAAAGAACACTAAAGAGATTTATATGGAGGGGAAAGAAAAAAGGAGAATAAGATTTTAAAACTTGCAGGATTGGAACGAGAGAGGTGGCCTTGGCTTTCTTAACTTTACTTGATACTGGCTTTCCATCATGGATAATAAAATGAATAAAATCCCCTAACAGCAGAATATCAATCATAGACGGAGTCAGCTTAGCCAATTGTTTTCATAGGCACTTACAGTATGAGTCAACTCAAGAAGAAAAGAATTTGAAAAGCCAGAGGATATTTGATAAAATATATACATATATATGCACTTAAAAAAAAAAAAAACAAGAGAAAGACAGATGATTTTAACATTAGGGTTATTGTCAAATGCCTTTCATTTTAGCAATAACTATAGTAACAAAGATTTAATTGCTTATGCCAGCATACGTGTGGTACATCAAGATTCAGGAAACGGGTTGAACAAAGAGCAACAAATGTTTGATGAATGTACGAATTTATTGCGGCTGATGTACTCACTTATTGCTGGGAGAATAAAAAATGACCTCGAGAAAGGAGAGATATTGAGAAAAGATGGCAGAATTTAAAATATCTATAAACTACCAAGGTCATCTATTAGGACGGATATACAAATTGCCAGGGAATTTGTATATCCGCAATAGAAGAAATTTTAAAAAACCAAAACTGAATGATAAAATGGATGTAAAACTTCTGTTGGAAGAAATATCCATCTGGATTCAGTTCCAAGTGGGGGAAAAGACACTGGATTTGTGGAAGTTGCTTGGAAAGAAGGTTTATTGATGAACAGGATCATCAATAAAGATCCTGGGCAGAAAAGGGGCAGAGATGCTGAGAGTGGCTGGGTTTTATGCCCTCTGTTTATTTATTTTATTTATTTATTAGATTTTTATACCGCCCCCTCTCCCGAAGGACTCGGGGCGGTGAACAACCAAAGTTAAAAACATACAATATAAACAATTAAAAATACGTTTAAAACAGAATTAAATCTAAAATGGCTCCCCAATTTAAAATGCCTTACCCATACCCCTATAAAAAGACGAATTTAAAATTTAAAAATTTAAAATTTCCACATTTAAAAAGGGGGAAGATTTAGGCCAGGCCAGCTTGATAAAATAGAAAGGTCTTAAGCGCGCGGCGGAAGGTGCGCAGATCCGGGATCCTACGTATCTCCGGGGGGAGCTCGTTCCAAATTGTAGGTGCCCCCACAGAGAAGGCTCTCCCCCTAGGGGCCGACAGCCGACATTGTTTGGCCGACGGCACCCGGAGGAGCCCCTCTCTATGGGAGCGTACTGGCCGGTGGGAGGCTATTGGTGGTAGCAGGCGGTCCCATAAATAAATGTTGGGCTTTGAATTTGAGCTTGCATTCCAGTTGATTGTCAGACTCCCATAGGCCCATGCAGGGGTAACTTTGTAGGTTGTCTTAAGTCCCAGGCTTGGTTGACTCTTGCTGGGTGATGATGTAATGAAGGAGCTTTGGGCAATTCCTACCAGGGCTGGGCTGCTGGGGGTTCGCAGGGATTCGGAAGAACCTCTAGCTAAGATTCTGTGCAGTTCAGAGAACCCCCAAATCCCACTCCTGGCTGGCCATGCCCACCCCTCCCCTCCCAGCAGTCCCCACGCAGCCTGTTTTTGGATGCAGGCAAGTGCAAGGCATGCGCGGAGGCTCGGGGAGAGTGAAAAACGGGCCTACTGGAAGTTTGGGAAGTTTGGGCCCATTTCCAGTCTCCAGAGAGCCTCTGAAGCCTGGAGAGGTCGTTTTCGCCCTCCCGGAAGCTCGAGGAAAGCCTCCGGTGCCCGGGGAGAGCAAAAACGCCCCCCCCCCCCGTGGTGCAGGAGGCTGATTACACCACAACCACCATGGCCACGCCCACCCAGCAACCAGACAGAGAACCCCTTGCTAAAATTTTTGAAGCCCACCCCTGAATCCTACTATGGCTCTGCCTGAAGGAGGTAGATCTTTTGTTACGTAGAATAGACTGGCCTAGGCCTTAATGGATCATTGACAAAGGTGGGGGGGGGGGGGCTGAAGTTTCTGCCTCCCTTTTAGGAGCAATATTCTGCCCTTTTAATATTTCCTAAAATATTTCATTTTTCTAGGAGAGGGATGGGTGCTAACTTTCTGTACTTCAAAGAGCTAATCACAGCACAACAATGGGAAAAACTATAGAAGGATCAATAAAATTTATTCCAGGTTATAATTTAAGGAGAAATTGGTATAAAAGAAGGCACATGAATTACTTATAAAGTAATAAAGGCAGGATAGAAGAACAATCTAAAGCTAAAATCTAAATTACTCGGTTAATAATAAATAGCTGATAAAGCTTCTTGGATGAGAAGCAAAATGTCCTCTTCCTCAAATTAAAAAAAACAACAGTCCAATTGCCTTTTGAAAGGAAATAAAGCACCATTGAGATCAGTTAATAATTACCAAGAAAGTCAAATCAAATAACAATAAACATTGGAAATTCCATAGCAAGGAAGGAGGACTTTTTCATAGGTGGTGATCACATTTAAAAAACAAAACAAAAAACACGACAGCAGACTCAAGAGTACCGGAAAAAAATGCACCAGCATTTTCAGAAAATCCTAAAAATAAAATCTGAATTCCCCCACATATTAGGCATAATTGCAGAGAATTTAAATGAAAAACATCACAGTTTACTAAGATTTATGCTGAAAGCTGCAAGAAAAAAATTAGGGACAACACTGGGGGAAAAAAAGAGAACCTTGGCTCACGATATCGGACTGGGAAGCCAAAATTCAAAGAATAGGCAACCCTGGCAAAACCGACATTATATATCCATAATAGAAGTTTAAGTAAGAATGGCTCCTATATATACACGACACATTACACAGCAGGAGAAACTGAGCGATTTAGAATATTGTTTTTAGGAAGAAAGTTGTGAGGCCAATAAAAAATAATTAGATAAAAAGATTTAAAGAGATATTAGTAACACTCTTTAATGTTTAATATAAAGTATAAATAACTAGGCTATGTTTAGCGGTTGGCAAACTCAGTGGAAGAGAAAGGGAAAATGTATTATTAGAAAGTGTTTCCAGAATGTTTTTAATAATGTTTAGCAGTTGTTGTTTTTTAAAAATCTTTCTTGACTGTTACAATCTAGTGTTTTTTTGTTTGTTTTTTTGCCTTTGTGCTTTATTATTCTTGGAAAAACAAGTATCTTTATTTTGTTTTTTTACATTTTGATGTTGCCCCCGTTTGATGCTCAACCAGTGGTGAAATGTAAAATTTGTTACTACCGGTTCTGTGGGCGTGGCTTAGTTGAGGGGGTAATGTGACTGAGTGGGCGTGGCCAACTTTTTTCTTTTACTTTTAAAACCAATTTTTTTCTACAATCTCTTCGGCCGAAGAGGTTGTTAAAAAAAATGCTTTTAAAAGCCTCTGACGATCCCAAACTCAGCCCAAGAGGTTGTAGAAAAAATGCTTTTAAAAGCCTGACGATCCCAACCTCAGCCGAAGAGGTTGTAGAAAAAAATGCTTTTAAAAACCTCTGACGATCCCAACCTCAGCCGAAGAGGTTGTAGAAAAAAATGCTTTTAAAAGCCTCTGACGATCCCAACCTCAGCCGAAGAGGTTGTAGAAAAAATGCTTTTAAAAGCCTCTGACGATCCCAGCTGAGCCGCGCGATCATCAGAGGCTCTTTTTTTTTACTTTAAAAAGCATTTTTTCGGCCAAAGAGGTTGTAGAAAAAACGCTTTTGAAAATTAAAAAAAGCCTCTGATGATCGTGCAGTTCGGCTGGGCATGGGGGGGGGGGGGGCAGGGATTTTTGCTACCAGTTCTCCGAACCACCCGCAGCCATCGCTACTGGATTGGGCGATCCGGTCCGAACCGGGAGCATTTCACTCCTGCGCTCACCATTAATCACATAACAAAACTGTGTGGTATTACACCAGAAAGAATTGATTGTTGATGAACTTTCCATGGTTAATTGGAGAAGTGTTTTTTTCCCCCAAAATTGGCAATTTTTAAGATGTGTGGGGTCCTTGTGCCCAAGGCAAGACAGTGTGTTCTGCTCCCATTCAGCATCCTCAATAAGAATTAAATCCCTCCAGTTTTCTCGGCCACATTTTCAAAAGCAATTTATTATTATGAAATTTCTACACTGCCCATCTCACCAAGTGACTCTGTCCCACCTTAGGCAGGAAAGCCGGCTGGGTGACTTTGGGACAATCACCAGGAGTTGGTGAGTTCTAATCCCACTGTTGGAAGAAATGTGGGTTCAGTTCCAAGTGGGGAGAAAGACACTGGAACCATGGAGAATGCTTGAAAAGATGGTTTAATGGTGGACAGGACCACATCGTTTTGAGGTCCTGGGCAAAAAAGCACATGGGTGAGAGAGAAAGAGAGAGAGAGAGATTTATACCCTCTGTTGGGCTTTGAATTTGAGCTTGTATTCTGATTGGTTGTCAGACTCCCATGGGGCCATGCAGAGGTAACTTTGTAGGTTGTCTTTTGAGTCCCAGGCTTGGTTCACTCTTGCTGGGTGATGATGTAATGAAAAGAGTTTTGGGCAATTCCTATTATGACTGAGGGCTAATCCTATCTTTGTTGGCTCTTGGGTGAGGGCATTTGCTTATGAATAGACCTAGCTATCTCTTAAGTGTTGACATCTGCTGTGGGCTATTGAGAATGTAGGGGCTGTTAAGAGTGAGTCTGCTTCCTGCTTAAAAAACATGTTTCTCCATTTCTCATCCAGGGAGGTATAATATTCTGCCTTTTTAATATTTCCTAGAGTATTTCATTTTTCTAGGGGAGGGGTGGGTTCTAACTTCCTGCACCACCTTAGCAGGTAAGCTGGCTGGGTGACTCTGAACCAATCACCAAGAGACTGAAAATTCTAGTTCTGCCTTAGGCACAAAAACTGGCTGAGCGACTTTAGGTTAGTAACCAGGAGACAGTGAGTTCTAGTCCCATCTCAGCCCTGAAAGCCAGCTGGGTGACTTTATCTCCAATCTCTCTCTCTCTCTTCCTTATTGTCTCCTCTTCTGAAGGGGGGTTTTCACCTTTCCACCACTGCGCATACACCATTCTTGCTGCGGTTAGGATGTGTAGTATTAGATATATTGTCTCTTTATCATAGCTATTTGTTATAATGCCTAATAGAAATAATTCTGGCTTGATCTCTATACGCTGTCTAAGCATTTTTTCCTAACCACGTACGAATTTGTAACCGAAATTTCCTTGCTTTTTTACAGGTCCACCACATGTGGTAGTATGTGCCTGGTATTGGAATAGAATAGAATAGAATAGAATAGAATAGAATAGAATAGAATAGAATAGAATTTTTATTGGCCAAGTGTGATTGGACACACAAGGAATTTGTCTTGGTGCATATGCTCTCAGTGTACATAAAATAAAAGATACGTTCATCAAGAATCACTTGATGAACGTATCATCAAATCAATATTTATTTACATTTCCAACAATTTGCGGACATGTTGCTAAACCTTTTAGCCAATCTTTAACCCAGCACCTTTAATCTGCTTCCTGTCCCATTGCCTGGGCAAGATTGCAAAGATAGCAAACTGCCTCTGAGCACCAGCAGAGCACTCTTCCCGCCCAAGCCCAACCAACCCCTGCACTCCTAAAAGTAGGAAACCAAATTTTATTGCAAGCATCGCAGCAATCCTGCGCTCGGAAGCTTGGATCCCGAGGAAACTATAAAGAAATGCAATGCAAAGAAATGCATTTAGCCCAATGCAAGGAAATGCATTTACCCCAATGCAAAGGAATGCAATTCCCCCAAAGGCTTAAGAGAGTTGAGTTTCCCCCTCCCTCTGTTCCAGGGGGTGAGGGCACCCTGCGCCGTCCCAGCCCCGCCCCTAGCTTCCTAGACCACGCCTCCTCTATTAGCCTTCGCCCCCTTCGCCTGCCAAGTTCCTGACTTTTTCCTCCTGCTGTTTTTGCTTTTTTCAAGGGCTGCTTCTGCTCCCCGGGAAGGAAAGCCTGCCTGCCTGCTTGCCTGCCTGCGCTCCCCATGGCTGAGAAAGGGCAGAATGAGTTGCTAAAAGCCCGAGACAGGACCCTGAGCGTCTTCCGCGAAGGTATATCCAGATTTATACATTGCATGCCCGAGATTAAATTTCCAACCGCTTCCGTATATTTGCAAAGCGGCGGAACCTTTGCGAGCGGAGCGCGGCGGGCCCGGAGGCATATTAGCGCCGTACTGCTGGGCACTGGGGGACCGAAATAAGCGTGCACCGAAGTTAAGGGGAAAGCAAAGAGAGGGGGGGGGATTGGGAAGCGGGATTTTTCCCTGTGCATTTGAGACAATGGGAGAGAAGAGTTCAGGGGGCCCAATGTTGCAGTGTAGCAACTCAGTCAGGCTTCCCTGTGTGGGTGGGGGATGATGGGCATTGTAGTTCAGCTAGTCCAGCTGCTTTGAAGAAGTGGAAGGGTCAACTCTTTTGGAAAAGGAGAAAGGATGAGTTTTTAATAGATAGAATACAATGCAATACAATTCTTTATTGGCCAAGTGTGATTGGACACACAAGGAATTTGTCTTTGGTGCATATGCTCTCAGTGTACATAAAAAGATAGATTCTAAGAATCATAAAGTACAACACTTAATGATAGTCGTAGGGTACAAATAAGCAATCAAAATCAAATCATCCTAGGAAACAATATAAATCTTAAGGATACAAGCAACAAAGTTACAGTCATGCAGTCATAAGTGGGAGAATAGGAACAATGAGAAGATTAATAGTAATGCAGACTTATTGAATAGTTTGACAGTGTTGAGGGAATTATTTGTTTAGCAGAGTGATGGCGTTTGGGAGAAAAAAATAATCCTTGACTCTCCAGACTTGCTAGATGATGCTGACCCCTAGCTTGCCTCTTCTTAACACATTCCCTCTGCCCAGAAATTAGTACAAGGTAATCCTCGATTTATGACCATAATAGAACCCAAAATTTATGTTGCTAAGCAAAACATCTGTTAAATGAGTTTTGCCCCATTTTTTTGCCCATGATCTTTCTTGCCATAGTTGTTAAGTGAATCACTGCAGTTGTTAAATTAGTAATATGTTTGGGTTTTTTGGGGGGAGGGGGGGTTTGCTTTAATTTATATGCCGCCCTTCTTCGGAGACTCAGGGCGGCTTACAATGCATTAAGCAATAGCCTTCAAACTTTTGTCTATTTATACAAAGTCATCTTATTGCCCCTACAATCTGGGTCCTCATTTCACTTACCTTTGAAAGGATGGAAGGCTGAGTCAACCTTGAGCCTGGTGAGATTTGAACTTGCAGTAATTGCAAGCAGCAGATGTTAATAACAGTGCTTTAGTCCACTGTACTACAGGCTCAGTGTTGTTAAGTGAATCTAGCTTCCCCATTGTCAAAAGGTGGCAAAAGCAGATCACATAACCCCCGGAATCTTGAAATGGTTCATAAATATGAACTAGTCGCCAAAGCATCGAAATTTTGATCATGTGACCACGGGAATGCTGCAGTGGTTGTGAGTGTGAAAAATGGCCATATAAGTCACTTTTTTCAGTGCTCTTGTAACTTCGAACAGTCATTAAACAAATCATTAAGGGAGTTGCACTGAGGGAGCTCAACCAATCTCATTGTACATATGTTGTGCGCTGACAATAAAGGTTTGGATTTGAATTTGAAATGGTTGCAAGTACTCAGCATTGCTAGTCTAGTGAAGAGAAGGACCGGGGGAGGCAGGATAGCAGTCTTCCAATATTTGAAGGGCTGCCACAGAGAGGAGGGGGTCAACCTCTTTTCCAAAACACCTGAAGGCCAGACAAGGAATAATGGATTGAAACTGAAAAAGGAGAGATTCAACCTAGAAATAAGGAGAAACTTCCTAACAGTGAGAACAATCAACCAGCTTGCCTTCAGAAGTTGTGGAAGCTTCATCACTGGAAGCTTTCAAGAAGAGACTGGACTATCATTTGTCAGAAATGGTGTAGGCAGGGTCTCCTGCTCGGGGGTGTGGACTAGATGACCTTCAGGGTCCCTTCCAACTCTGTTAATCTGCTAATGTAGGTTGTAAATTGAAGGCTACCTGTAGTATCCTTGCTTGTACAGGAAAGGTTTAAGCCCACTTTGTTACTTCCCAGATGGAAGAAGAAGCAAAGTGGGGGGGGGGAAGCAAATGTTGTGGGCACCGGCCCAGCTCAATCCCTGTGCAGGGAACAGTTGGAAGCGTAAAATAACCCAGGTTCTCATGTCGTGTGATGCCATACAAAAGTTTACCAAGGTTAACGCTCAAGTAGCTTAGCACCTTGAAAAGGTGTGTGCTCAGTCTTCCTGCCATGGTTGATTGGGTTCCATTTTGCTCCCAATCTGTGCGATTTCTCAGACTATTTCATGGGGAACTGCACAACCTGCACACCAAGGAGCCTTGGTGGAGCAGCGGACTAGAGCGCTGTTAAGTAGCACTTAGCTGCCAGCTGCCTGCAATTACTGCGAGTTCAAATCTCACCAGGCTCAAGGTTGACTCAGCCTTCCATCCTTCCGAGGTAGGTAAAATGAGGACCCGGATTAACGCATTGTAAGCCACCCTGAGTCTCCGGAGAAGGGTGGCATATAAATTGAACCAATAAATAAATAAACCTCATCTTGTTGAATATTTTCTTGGACGATAATTGGTGTGAAAAGTAGAAGAATCTGATAACTTTTTTTTGAAACTTAACATATTTACCATCCCTAATTGCTACTGCTGTATATTTTTTCAATCTTTTAATTAAAAAAACCATAGTTGCTACTGCAGTTGAGACAGCTAACAAATGGATTAATTAAATACATTTTTAAAAAACACATGTTAAGGTGTTATCTAACGCAAGAGTGTGATTTTGAGTTCTAGGAAAATGTAAAACTACTTAGGCACTTTTGATTGACTCTGCCAAGGTTACTACCGGTAATAGATTCTCAACATCGTGTAGCATATTTACCTCAATCTTTTTTGGCTAGTGAGTGGCAAACCCACCAGTTACAGAAATAAATAGAAATCAATGTGATTGCATCTAGTTGTCCTCTTACTATGTAATTTCCTGACAATTTAATCTGACTGAATTCAGATAAAGTATGGACAGGATTGCTGCACTGCCTGTCGAGAACAGCGACTGTAAAAAAGTCACTTCCGTGTATATTAAATTGCTGCACACCTTCATATTTTGTTATTTACTCATTTCACAAAAGAGCATCTCAAAAGTCTACTTAGATCCTTGGCATACGTTACAGAGAGCAACTAGCGCTTAAATTAGTTTATATTACAGTAAAAATGATGAAGCATAGTGGTGTACGTTTACACTTCTGAAGAACGATGATTAAAAGGTACAGCTGAGATTGAGTGTTACTAGTACACTCATGCTCTTAGTAATAACGAGACTATCATACTTCCCAATATACTTTAGTTTGTAATCTAAAAATACACTAATGCAAATCTCATTCTTTGTGTGTTATTCTTTGAAATTACCACTTGTAGCAGTGGCAAAACTTGTAAATAAATGCTGTGCACAAGGAAATCAGCACCGCGCATTTCAGAATGTTAAGGAAGTTGCCAATTTTAATATTTAGACCTTGGGCTGAATTGGCTTTAAAATGACATAATTAACTGCAACGCAACTAAGGGTTTCCAAAAAGCATGTGTTTAGCTCACTGGGTTTCCAGAAATCTTGATGTTAAATCACAATAAATCTGTTGATCTTTGCAACTAATTGGCTGGATTTAATTCCCTGGGAAGGCTGTTCTGCCTATACTTGGGAGAACAGTGTGTGTTACCTTATAATGGATAATAGTTGTTCAGTTCAAGGACTTTTTCACTGTGAGGTTAAAGAGAATTAAGCAAATTCAATTGGGCTGACATTTAGGTCCTACTGTCTTAAATAAGGCTCTACAGTTATCTTCACTAGAAGTCATAAGTGGCCTACCTGTATTATTGTTGTTGTTAGTTGCGAAGTTGTGTCTGACCCATCACGACCCCACAGACAACGTTCCTCCAGACCTTACCGTCTTCCACCATCCTCTGGAGTCCATTTAAGTTCACGCCGACTGCTTTAGTGACTCCATCCAGCCACCTCGTTCTCTGCCGTCCCCTTCTTCTTTTGCCCTCAATCGTTCCCAGCATTAGGCTCTTCCTCCTTCTCATTAGGTGGCCAAAGCATTTGAGTTTCATCTTCACGATTTGGCCTTCTAAGGAGCAGTCAGGGTTGATCTCTAGGACTGAAAGCTATGGCAAATCTAGACAGCATACTAAAAAGCAGAGACAAAAGTGTGTATGGTCAAGGCTATGGTTTTCTCAGTTGCAATGTGTGGCTAGTTGGACCATAAGGAAGGCTGAGCGCCAAAGACTTGAGGCCTTTGAACTCTGGTGCTGGAGAAGACTCCTGCGAGTCCCTTGGACTGCAAGGTGATCCAACCAGTCAGTCCTAGAGGAGATCAACCCTGATTGCTCTTTAGGAGGCCAGATCCTGAAGATGAAACTCAAATACTTTGGCTACCTAATGAGAAGGAAAGACTCCCTGGAGAAGAGCCTAATGCTGGGAACGATGGAGGGCAAAAGAAGAAGGGGACGGCAGAGAACGAGGTGGCTGGATGGACTCACTGAAGCAGTCGGCGTGAGCTTAAATGGACTCCGGAGGATGGAAGAGGACAGAGAGGCATGGGGGAATGTTGTCCATGAGATCACGATGGGTCGGACACGACTTTGCAACTAACAACAAAGATGGGTTAGAGAGAAAGAGAAAGAGAGAGATTTTCCAGATTCTGTTATTTTACCCTACAAAAAAAGAAGAAAAAAAAACCTTCTTAAAATCCCTGCCATGTCTGTTTCTTGATCTGCCTTCCCACGAAAGCCTGACTAACTGAATTTACTAAATTGGCAAATCAAGAAAACAGTGTGATGCATTGTCAGTCCGCAGCGCTTTCCATAGTTTGTTTATCGCATTTTAATGAGATGTTGCTTTTGGACAACATTTGCTAACTAGCGTTGTGAATACAAAGGGACACGGCTGTAATACAATGCTGGGTGTCAAATTTGGAAGGCTCTGGGGCTGTTTTCTGAACGTGCCATGTCAAATTCGGTGATCATGTCAAGCATGAGTCCTTAAGCAATGTTTTACTAATAAGCTACCAGGGGTGGATTCCTACTGCAAGCTAAACCAAGATTAAACAGATTCTTGGGCATTTAAGTGTAATGGGTTCCACCCTCTGTGTTCAAATAGACACTAGAATGAAACCTATGTTTGCTACTAACTTGGTTCTGTCGTGGCCTTTGTGCTAAGTTTTGGTCTATTGGTTAAAGATACCCATCCGGCTTTCATGCCTAAGGCAGGACTAGAACTCACAGTCTCCTGGTGATTGGCCCAAAGTCATCCAATTGGTTTTCATGCCTAAGGCAGGACTAGAACTCACTGTCTCCTGGTGATTGGCCCAAAGTCATCCAATTGGTTTTCATGCCTAAGGCAGGACTAGAACTCACAGTCTCCTGGTGATTGGCCCAAAGTCATCCAATTGGTTTTCATGCCTAAAGCAGGACTAGAACTCACTGTCTCCTGGTGATTGGCCCAAAGTCATCCAATTGGTTTTCATGCCTAAGGCAGGACTAGAACTCACTGTCTCCTGGTGATTGGCCCAAAGTCATTCAATTGGTTTTCATGCCTAAGGCAGGATTGAACTCACTGTCTCCTGGTGAGTGGCCCAAAGTCATCCAATTGGTTTTTATGCCTAAGGCAGGACTAGAACTCACTGTCTCCTGGTGATTGGCCCAAAGTCATCCAATTGGTTTTCATGCCTAAGGCAGGACTAGAACTCACGGTCTCCTGGTGATTGGCCCAAAGTCATCCAATTGGTTTTCATGCCTAAGGCAGGACTAGAACTCGCTGTCTCCTGGTGATTGGCCCAAAGTCATCCAATTGATTTTCATGCTTAAGGCAGGACTAGAACTCGCGGTCTCCTGGTGATTGGCCCAAAGTCACCCAGCCAGCTTTCATGCCTAAGACACAACTAGAACTCACCGTCTCCTTGTTTAGAGCCTGGTTCCTTAACCACTAGACCAAACTATGCTGACTTGGGAATTCTGGGAGTTGAAGTCCACACATCTTAAAGCTGCCAGAGTTGAAAAGAAACACTGCTCTGGTGGTTAATCCAATGTTCCCCCGTTTCCCCCCGTTTTGTTTTATTTCCAGAAGCAGAACGGGACTGGAAGGGCCCTTTCTATTTCATTCAAGGAGCAGATCCTCAGTTTGGGCTGATGAAGGCGTACAGCATCGGCGACTGCAGCAGCGGTGGGGACGAATGGGAAGCCGAATTGCAGCTCACCCGGCAAGCGGTGGAAGCTATCAACCACCTGAACCCGAGACCAAAGTTCCTTGTCCTCTGCGGAGATTTAATACATGGCATGCCTGGTAAGGTACCGTACTTTTCGGAATATAAGATGCACTTTTTTCCCCCTTAAAAGAGGGTGGAAATGTTGGTGCGTCTTATACGCCGAATACAGCCATTTTTGGCCTCCCAAAACCCCACCCTGTGCGTCCCGTTTTTGCGAAAATGGGCCTGTTTTTCACAAAAACAGGATGCGCAGAGGGTTTGGGAGACCTGCAGAGTGCTCCTGGGGGCTGGGGAGGGCAAAAACAGACGCGCGGAGCAGTGGTGAAATATAAAATTTGTTGCTACCAGTTCTGTGGGCATGGCTTGGTGGGGGGGGTCATGTGACTGGGTGGGTGTGGCCAACATATTTTTTTATTTTACTTTTTTAAAGCATTTTTTTACTACCGTTTCCGGTGGATAGATAGTAAAAAAATGCTTAAAAAAAGTTTTTAAAAGGTTCCGAAGATTGACAATCAGCTGTGCCACTGTGGCACAGCTGATTGTCAATCCTCGGAACCTTTTTTTTACCTTTTTAAAGCATTTTTTTACTGCCAGTTCGCCCGAACTGGTAGTTTTTATCACTATCGGTTCGCCCGAACCGGAGCGAACCAGTAGCATTTCACCTGTGGCACGGAGGCCAAAAACTATTTTTTTTTCTTGTTTTCCTCTTCAAAATCTTGGTGCGTCTTACACTTCAGTGCGTCTTACAGTCCGAAAAATACGGTAGTTCAAACTCTTGGATCAGGAAGAATCATGGTTTGACCCTTTTTTCCCCAAGGTCTCAGGGCTGTACAGGTAATCCTCAACTTAACGACCGCAATTGAAGCTCAGCGTTGATGTTGCTGACTGAGAAATTTGTTAAGTGAGTTTTTCCCTATGTTACGACTTTCCTTGCTGCCTTTCTTAAGTCAATCGCTGTCGTTCGTTAGATTAGAAACACGGTTGTGAAGCGAACCTGGTTTCCCCCGTTGACTTGGCTTGTCAGAAGGTCACGAAAGGGGATCACATGACCCACCCACCCACCACCAGGACACTGCAACCGTCATAAAGGTGAGTCAGTGGTCCAAGCATCCGAATGTAAATTCCGTGACTATGCGGATGTCAGCGTTTCAACGCTGGCATGGAGAGCAGAGGAGAGCGAGAGATAAAACTCTGAAACTTTTGCCTGCCAAATCCCTTTGAAGTCGGGTTGTCGTGGAAATGAGGGGAGGGGGCACATTCCTGGGAGATGACGAGAAAAGGAGTCTGAAGAATGACTTGGAAGATAGCCAATGAGAAGCAGAGATTTGGGGATTGGAAAGGCAGGGATTGGGGGGCAAAAGGTCAGTCTTGTCTGCGCGGAGTCATGATCCGGTGGCTGTGCTCAATTAAAGAAAGATTTCCTTAAAGATTGGCAGTTTGGAAATTCATTTAATTTTGAGATAGCATCGCAGTCTGACAGCGGGATGCTGCAATGGTCTATAAAGTGTGAAAAATGGCACTAAGCCACTTTTTCCCATGCTGTCGTAACTTCGAACGGTCACTAAGCGAACCTTTGTAAGTCGAGGAGTACCTGTGTTGCAGGCAGTGCGCTGTGATGGAAAGCACTGCACGTGCACATAACATCAATTTACAAAATATTTACCCACTTTTCATTTCATTTTAGCAGGCCGGTTTTGCATGGGCCAAGAGCGCATGCCGATGGCAACTTGCCAGCCCCCCCCCCTTTTTTTTTTTGCCATAAAACATCTCCATCCAAGTCAGCTTTCGTTAAGGCTGGATTAGCAGACGGGCTGTGCACCCCATGTTGCTTTCCTCCATACAGCTGCGTGGAGTAATCTTGTTAGCATAATCAAAATCCCCACGTTCAGCCATTTCTCCCATTATTTGGAACTGAGGCCTTTTAACGGTTCCAAAGGCAATCGTCGCTTAGCTTGGCCCCAAAGGGTTGCTGGAATGAAACCAGATTTTTGAAAATTTAGCCTGGCCCGGTTATTCGTTTCCCCTGTCTGCGGCACCCGGAGTTTCCCCCCGAACAGCAAATAGGGTTCTGCTGACTTCAAAGAAAAGGGAGGGAATGGAAGCGTGACGGCGTCTATTGAAACGAAAGAGCGCTGGGGAAAATAAATTTAATAAATAAATAATACTCAAATAAGCAAATCCATAAATCAAAGGGCTCCTTTCCTTTTAAACCATCTGCTAAGAACTCCAGCGAAGCCCGTTAGGAGAAAGCGTGCAAGCAAATTGATTTTTATTTATTTTAATTTTTTTTGTTGGGTCTTGCTTATGTAGCCCATCGCCCCCTCCAGCCCCACTTCCATGCATCACACAACTGCCAAAAGACACATTTAGCCACGCAGGGCGTGAAACATTTGAACAGAACATCTTGAGCACCGAAATTGCTTTTGAGCTGGGTTGTGTGTTTGGCCTAAGCTGGGCAAACATTGGCAAGGAACAGCAAGCAAAGCGAGAGGGATGGCATTCCTCATATCCATCTTCTTTCGGCTCTCAGAGAAAACCATTTGGATGAAAAAATCTCCTTTTTAGCAATAGCAATAGCCCTTCGACTTATATACTGCTTCACAGTGCTTTGAAGCCCTCTCTAAGCAGTTTACAGAGTCAGCCTATTGCCCCCAACAAGCTGGGTCCTCATTTTACCCACCTCGGAAGGATGGAAGGCTGAGTCCAACCTTGAGCCGGTTAGGATCGAACTGCTGGCAGTTGGCAGAATTAGCTGCAGTACTGCGTTCTAACCACTGCACCACCGCAGCTAATCATCAGTAGCACTTAGACTTATATACCGCTCCACAGTGTTTCACAGCCCTCTCTAAGCGGTGTACAGAGTCAGCCTATTTTACCCCAACAATCTGGGTCCTCATTTTACCCACCTCGGAAGGACGGAAGGCTGAGTTGACCTTGAGCCAGTCAGGATCGAACTCCAGCCTGCGGGCAGAGTCAGCCTGCAATACCACATTCTAACCACTGCGCCACCAGGGCTCCTAATGCAACATCCAATCAACTACAGCAATAACAAGAGCACTTAGACTTACATATCGCTTCACAGTGCTTTCCAGCCCTGTCTAAGCAGTTTACAGAGTCAGCATCTTGCCCTCAACAGTTTGGGTCCTCATTTTACCCTCCTCGGAAGGATGGGAGACTGAGTCAACCTTGAGCCGGTCAGGATCAAACTGCTGGCAGTTGGCAGAGTCAGCCTGCAATACTGCATTCTAACCATGCGGCACCATGGAAGGAAGGAAGGAAGGAAAGAAGGACAATAGCAATAGCCCTTAGATTTATAAAACGCTTTACAGTGCTTTACAGTCCTCTCTAAGCTGTTTTATAGAGTCAGCTTCTTGCCCCCAACAATCTGGGTCCTCATTTTACCCATCTTGGAAGGATGGAAGGCTGAGTCCACCTTGAGCCGGTCAAGATTGAACTCCTGGCAGTGGGCAGAGATAGCCTGCAACATTGCATTGTAACAACTGCATCACTATTCCCTCCTTCCTTCCTTCCTTCCTTCCTTCCTTCCTTCCTTCCTTCCTTCCTTCCTTCCTTCCTTCCTTCCTTCCTTCCTTCCTTCCTTCCTTCCTTCCTTCCTAAGCTATACCAGACTTATACATCGCTTCACAGTGCTTTACAGCCCTCTCTTAAGCAGTTTTACAGAGTCAGCCTCTTGCCCCCAACAATCTGGCTCCTCATTTTACCCACCTCGGAAGGATGGAAGGCTGAGTCCAACCTTGAGCCGGTTAGATTCGAACTGCCAAATTACAGGTAGCGTGGCCAGGGTGGGTGTGGCCAGCTTAATATCACTCATGTCGGGGGCGCCTGTGGTGGACCAAGCGCTCCGCCAGCGAAAACGGGCTCCCGAGCTCCGTTTCGGCTGCAACGGCCTCCTGCAACCCTCTGCCGGTGAAAACAGTTCTCCTGAGCTCCGTTTCGGCTGCAATGGCCTCCTGCATACCTCTGCCGGCGAAAACAGTTCTCCTGAGCTCTGTTTTGGCTGCAACGGCCTCCTGCAACCCTCTGCCAGCGAAAACGGAGCTTGGGAAGGCTGCATTCAGCCCCCCGAGCTCCATTTTCACTGGCAGAGGCACTGCGGGCCGCCCCTTCGCTGTTTCCAGGGCAGCCCTACGGGCCAGATCTCAGCACCCTGCGGGCCAGATTCGGCCCACGGGCCTTGAATTTGACACCTCTGGTATAGGTTCTCCTGCTTGAATAGGGGCTGGTCTAGAAGACCTCGAAGGTCCCTTCCAGCTCAATTCTATTCTAATTCCCCAGCCTTATAAGTACGACAAAGTCTTTTGGCTTTTAAGACGCCTGGGACGACTGCAGCAGCAGCAAAAAAAAAAGAAGACATCATCAGCTAAAGTGGGCTGCAATCAAGCAAAACACTTGGAGCCGTTTATGAACCCGTTAAAAGGAACTAAGTAATCAGCCGTCAGTGTCTTTGGTTATGTAAATGGTGATTAAATGGGGAGGGGGGCTGGCGCTTGGATTGTTGTTATCATTACTAGTAGGGCAGGGACAGGTTCTTCCTCCCCGGCCCCCTTTTCCCTTGATTGTATGGAAGCGTGTGATGAGACCCAGAATAATCCAACGCCTGCTACTGCAGGAGCAGATCGGGAGTGTCATTAGAGCTTTCTGGACCGGATCTCCGCTGCAGAACGTCGCTAGTTGGTTATTGAGGGGGTCTGCAGATGTTGGGGTGCCGATTGGAAATCTTAAGAAATCTTCCCTTCCATAATTGGGACCTCCGGATGGATCGGTATCCAATTTCAGTAGTTTAATGAATGCCTTGTTGGAGTCCTTGGTGCTCTCTGAGCTTGGCTGTTTTCTCGCAGGCATTTCATTACCCAAGTAGGTGACCTCATCAGTGCTAGAAGGGAGTGGGATTTGCAGGGAGGAGGAGGACGAAGAAGAGGAGGAGGAGGAGGAACTGTGGGGTTCTCGGTCCTCTCTGAACTAAATGATATCAGGGATGGGTTCTGCTTACCGTTCGCATGCGCAGATCACCCATTATGACGTCGTGGCGGGTGGGCGGAACCTCCCACCCGTTTTA